GGGAAAGAGAGAGCCAAATACATTGGAGTGCTTATGTGATGTATAGACTAGACTTTTTGTAGCTGAGCAACATGGTGGTGTGACACATAGGCACATACTTCCTATCTGTGGCGCTTCTCTCCCAGCTGCCAGTGTTGTGCCTCAGCCAAGGGAAGGTTGTGGTTTCTTTGAAATATATTTGGCAGTATGAGAGCTTATGTTGCTTTTCTAGATAAGACTGGAGAAACACACACCCCTGTTGTTGAAACATATTTCTGTTTTCAGCACTCTGTCTTTATTGCTCATACCAAAGCCCATGAGATAAAGCCAGAGTGTAAAAAACGCTTGTTGGGGTTTTTTTCATTGTCTTTCTCTCTGTGTTATGATTGCAGAGCTCTTGACTGTGTCTGATCTCATTACAGATAAATGCAAATTTGTTCATTACCATTTGCCGTATCGATGGCAAGTGTATAATGGGATCACCTGGAATGACCTTTCCATGATGGAGGAAATTGAAAAGGCCTATTGTGACCCAAAAACCAACAGGTATTACGATGCTGGACTGCTTGCTTAGAGTACTGTAGTTGAGCCCCTGAAGAAAAATGCTTGTTTTCTTCCTAAAGGTGTCTGACCTCCATAACTTCTGATTACTGAGCTTCTCAGAATCTGGAAGGATGTACAAATGAGAATTTTTCTTTTTAAAGAAAAGTAAAAGTGATTGCATGGAAATATCATCCCATTTTTGTCTTCTAAAAAAATAACAACAATATCCTGCATTTAAAACTTATACAGGGTAAAAAGAGGTGGGTGGAATTTAGTGCTTATAACATTAGTATTTCAGATAATGAATTATGATTTATTTATAATTATTAAGTTGGGCCTTTTAACAACAGTTCAGAGCTGGTCCTTCTCTATGGCTAGTCCTTCCCTAATGCAGCTAGTATCTATAATAATAATGTAATATAATAATATCGATAGTGTGCCTAGAGCAATTTTATGAAATGCCCTTTGTGTAAGTAGCCTATCTTCTTTTTTTTTTTTTTTTTTTTTTTTGATTTATTTAAACTGCTTTCTGAAAGCCCCACCATAAGCCACTTGGGTTCGTAGGGGACCCCAAGTTTGGCCTCAATAAAATGGCATAGTCATTTTGGCCTATGCCTCTTCAGACAGCAGATGATTTTGATTTGCAGCTTGTCTAGGCTGCTGGATGCAAGATTCCCAAAAGGAAGCTTCAAAGTCTTTCTGCCTGAGAGTTAATTTTTCAAGCCTCCCAGGAGTAAGAGCCCAGGTGGCTCCAGTGACGAATGCTATTTACAGATCTTACAGCTGTGATTGCATCCTCTGTAACCACATAAAAAGAACAAAGTTGATAAGCTGCAGGTGTTTGCTGGCAAACTCAGTCACGTACTTACCAACTTCTTTTTTTGTACTGAGAAAAACTGTAGCTATGCTTATTGATTGCAGAAATACCTTTTGCCACATTGTGCATGTAGCCCTAGACTGTCTGTAAAGCTGGCAGCACAACATCTGGCTAGTGATTGAAATGGCATTCAGTGTCTTACAGGCCATAGTTCGATTCTGAAGATTGGAAACAGTTTTCAGAGCTGCCATGCATGTTGTGGGAAATACTCTTATCTGAAGCCTGAGTTCAGGTGGTCACATTATATTAAAGAAAATTGCACCAGCTTAAACTGGGGATTAGAAGATAAAATATATACTGTTAACTATAATAAACCTGCATTTGTCCTTACAGCATAGCACATAAGAACATTAATTTCCAGACAATGACCTGCTGTTCTTCTTCGCTTCGACGCCTCTCTACACCGTCATCAGTCACAAAACCTGCATTTGTATTGACCACACAGTGGATTTGGTATTGGAAGAATGACCAAGGCCAGTGGATTGAATATGGAGAACAGGTGAGTCCACATCCTGTGCTTTGAATCACTTCTGAAGAAATTGGTGGAGCCGCTTCCCCCCACTCCCCTTTACTCAGCAAGGTTAAGTAAGTAATACTTGTGCTGGAATTTTACAGTGTCAGGTAAGGCAGTGAAGCTACAGATGTTCATAACAGATGTGATAAAATGATGACAGGCTGGAGAGAAGGGAATACGCGTTATCTCCTTGCAGTGAGGTTTAGTACGAACGATTCTCTCTCCTTGCGTCTGGGTGATTTGTTACAACTACTTCCCTGACAAAGACCTTGTTGGCAAATGCAGGAAAGCAAAATTCCTTTTTTTCAGCTTGTGTTGATCAGACTGGTTTTGATGATGCATGCTGGCTTCTCTAGTCAGATTCCCTTTTGGAGTTTTCCATGGCTTTTATGTATATTTAACATGTATACACAGTCCTTGAGATATATTGCTTTGTAAATTATTCAGGAAGTAGTCTTGCCTCTCTTCTAAGCATTGTCCTGCTTCCTTGGACATGTGAGTATTGCTCTGCTCTCCCAGGTCAAATGTTACCTTTTTCCTTGGGTGGCCAAATCCTTTTTGATGAGAGAGTGTTCTATCTGAAAAATGCAGGAAAATAAATAAATAAGGAACCTCTCCTTCCCCTTAGGCAGATGAGTTTCCTCATCTGGTTTACAGTACAGCTGCACAAATGGCAGAACACAAAGATGATCCAGGGACATGGAAAAGTAGGCAGGGAAAGATAATGGATATAGTGGCTCTGGCAATGGTGGGCCTTGATTTCAGTAGGCAGCTTAAATGGAAAGCATCTCCATGAGAATACCTTCATATTTTACATTGGTTTGTACATTAGAGAATTATACTTGCATCGTGGTTCAATCACGGTGTTGTGGAGCAGATTTAGAATCTGTTGACTATGCAAGTTTGTCGCGGGGCAGATTTTAGAACATTTAAAGAACCACCACCAAAGGTAGCAGCAAAAGTAGTTTTATTGAAGTAGGATGTTGTAAAAGTGAGAGTTAACAAAGTCGTATGCAAGGTTCATTCTTACTCACCGCGCAGAGGATACAATAATAATTCAAAGTTACCAATACGAAATCGTAGTATGCTGTAATACAAGGTTATGCACAATACTGGTCGTGTACCAAAGATCTGCAGTTGGCAAGGGGTCTCTCGGCCTCAAGGAGTAACCTTGAGAGGCGCCCCATCTGAATGGGAGATCACTGCTGTGCAGCCTGCTCCTGCAGCTCAAAAAAGCTCACTCAGGCTGTCATGGAATAAAGTGGTTGGCTTGTAGTCAAATTACATGCAATGGAAAAGGTAAGCATGAGACTCGGTGTAGCCAAAACTTTCTTTGTTTCCTGACAAATTAGTCTTGGAAGAACCACCTGCTATTCTTGTGTTAATCACATGATTGGTGTTCCAGTTTCCAAGCTCATATGCATCAATGCTCACCAGGTCACCCTGTTCCTGTGTGAGTTTTCAGAGAACAGGTTGGAACTAGAGAAGTTCATGGCCCGGTCATGGCCTAGGCCTTTACTTCCTATGGAGCCTGAACCAAACTAACACTAGTTTGGTCAAGGAGTCGAGTGCATCTGTCACACCTGGCCAGCAACTCAGCCCCACACAGCAGCTTGCACACTCTCCACCTGGTGAGATGGAGGAGAGAATCAGAAGGGTACAAGCAAGAAAACTTGTGGGTTGAGATAAAGACAGTTTAACAGGTAAAGTGAAAGCAGCGCATGCAAGCAAAGCAAACCAAGGAATTCATTCTCTGCTTCCCCTGGGCAGGCAGGCGTTCAGCCATCACCAGGAAAGCAGGGCTCCATCACGCATAACAGTTACTTGGGAAGACAAACGCCATCTCTCTGAACGTGCCCCCCCTTCCTTCTTCTTCCCCCCCAGCTTTATATGGTATGGGATATCCCTTTGGCCTATTGGGGTCAGCTGTCCCAGCTGTGTCCCCTCCCAGCTTCTTGTGCTCCCCCAGCCTCCTTGCTGGTGAGGTGGTGTGAGGAGCAGAAAAGACCTTGACTCTGTGTGAGCACTGCTCAGCAGTAACAAGAACATCCCAGTGTTTATCTGCACTGTTTTCAGCACAAGTCCAAAATGCAGCACCATATAAGCTACTATGAAGAAATTTAACTCCATCCCAGCCCAAACCAGTACAAGTTGTTACAGAAATTTAAACGGGACACATGCGTGTCCGTCATTACTAATTATGTGTTTGTGTGTATGTTACAAGTGTTTGGTAATCACACTTTATGCCATCATAGTTCTGGGTAGATTCCTCTTCATCCTACTCTTTGCCTCTTTTTTCCCCTCTACCCAAACTCATTATCCAGGGTTTAGTCCTGACTGTGTTTACTCATTACTCTTCTATCTTTTTTTTTTCTCCCACCACCACCAAAGGGAGAAGGGGATAGTGTGAAGTCGCCATCTTCTGATATTCTTGAGAATTTGTATCTAGCTGATCCAGATGCCACCATATCTTTCAGTGCTGGCTTGTATCATTACCAGCTCAATTTTAAAGGTACTCATTTTAAAGGTTCTCATTTACAACTATGTAGTGCTTAACAAAGAGTAACTTCCAAGCTATCCCAGCTTTTAGAAGCTATGACAATTTCTACTAACACTACCAGATTTACTCATTGGAAGGGGAAGTGACGTAGTCATGGCCCAGAGGAAATTCCTTACAAAAGTAATGTTCCTCCTCATTCTTTGACACTGTCCAGACTCACATTGGACTAGAAATAAAAAGATTTTTAGTCTTCACATAAAGTCATAGTAAACCTTAAGTAAAGTGAGTTAACCCTGTCGATGGTAAACATGAAAAATCAAGTATCTTTGCTGCTGGAGCAACATTTAAAGAGCATGAATGACTTAAGGGAGCAAGCAAGATAGGCACAGGTTAAATAACACAGTTGCAGGAAGGACAAGAAGCTTACATAGGCTTTGTGCAACTATTCTTCAGCAGATAGAATTGACAGTGATTGTGCACTTTTCATTACGAATGACTGTCATTTAATTAACAACCTCATCTTGTAGACTTATTAATGACTTCTTTTTCCTTTTCTTTTCTCCTCAAGAAATGATCCAGACAAACATGTCTTTTAGAACTCGAAGGCAGGTCTGCAGGCGACCAAAGTTTGTGTCTTCTGAAGATGTGCAGAAGATAAAGAAAGGGTAAATGATGCTCTTTGGGGTTTTTTTTTTCGTATTTCAGAAGTAAGGCAAAATAGCTGCCAGTCTTGGAAGTAATTGTGCAAAGAACACAGCTATTGCTAGAAGAAAACAGATCAATTTGACTGAACAGAAGCTATATCACAAACTTTCATCTTGGTGCATCACCTGTTTTCTGGGATACATGTTACTCCAGGTACCACATCCACAGGACTGGTGGTGGATGGTTGTTTATTAAAGAACCAAGCAGAAGAGGGCTGTGACACCTGAATGGCAGCATACAAACCCCACTTCACAGAATGAGGGTGTTTCCCAGTTTCTTTGTGTTTATTTTGTTTATTTTTAAATGCAGGAATTGGCAAAAGGAAATGTTGCCAATTTGAATGTTCAGAGCAGAACTGGAATTACTAACGCCTCGTTTTCTGTCTGTTTGTAAACAGCCCTAGGGATTCTTCTGTTCCAAATCAAGCCTGTCCTGTGCACTGGGATAAATCTGCACTGCCTGACTTTGGATACAAGGTACCTTCTCTTTTTTTTTCCTTTTGTTTTTCGCCCCCCCCCCGCCCCTTGTAATTCTGATGCAAAGGCATGATTCAAAGGAGAATGCTGCTTAACTGAAGCAATTGTAACTGGGTAGATGCTAAAAAGTGACAGGAGTGACTTCTTGGGTGGACGTGCTAAAGATCTAGGTGATTGCCCAAGAGCTTCTGAAAAGGATCCTAAATTCCCATAAACTTCACCTGCATTTTAGGCATCTATCCAGACACAAACCCAAAACTCACCAAATTCAAGACAAAAAGAATCACTGTTAAAAATGAAAAAAAATGGCTTCCCTCGGTGACTTGGTGGACCAGTGAAGCAAGGAGCTTCTGTGAAGCGTGTATTTCTTCACTACAAGCTGGGCTGAGACCAAACCCTTTCTTGTATAGGCCATTAAAAAGCCATCCAATAATAATACCATCATGGCTGTTGGTGGATAAAGTTTGGACTGGAGCCCTAGGAAACAAAATCTCTATATGCTCTTTCAAGTCACCCAGATCTGAGCACAGACCATGGACTCAAGGAATGGAAGAAATAAAGAGTTACAGCTAAGAATATCAAAAAACATTTGCAGTGATCTCTTCAACAAAACAAAACAAACCCCTGCCAGCCCAAAGTCTATGTTCCTATTTGGTCTACCAAGACCAAAAATGTGCTGGTGTTCTAGAAATTACTAGGTTTAATGGTATTAAGAAGCAGTCCTTCTGGTATTGCCACACAGACTCTGGAAGTACTACAGTATGCTAGAAAAAAGGCTTTTCAGTGTTACACTTGTCCTTTTTTGTAGTGATTTTGACCCTGATTTAAGGAACAGCACATAATGTGAGGTGCAAGAGGTTTTCCTTCTTGACTGTGACACAAAATCTGCTGACCAAGATGTATTGGCACAGACACCATGATGGCTGGGGACAGGACAGAAGTAATAACACATTTCCAGAATTCTTTCTGACTATATCAATTGAAAGCTCCATTGCTATTCTTATTCTTTATATTTTATTTTCCCTAGTGTAGTTACATTGGCAGTGGCATGAGAACCAGAAATACCATGTCTCTTAGCTCCCCTGGGCTGGTTTCTGTTATTCTGGTTTGTGCTGAATGTTTCATTTTACCCTGACTACCCTCTTGTGTTGGATTATGCCTTAGTCAAGGTAACACCAGTATCTGGCCATGTGTGTATATAGCAAATTCATCTAAATACAGTTCTGTTGAAAAATCAATTGGTAAAATCTGTCAACTGCTCTGTACATTAGCTCCCTTCAAATAGCTGTTTTTCACAATTAGCAGAAAACCCCTAATTTTTCAAGATTGTAGAAGTGTCAGGTGTGCAGCACCAGCTGAATGAACTAATAATGAGTTTGTGTGGGAATCTGGTGGACAGATATTTGAAAATTAGGGCCTGTGATGTTATGAGCTCTGTCAAAATAATAAAGGATATAGCTAATCAGCTCTTCCCTTGGCTTATCAGCAGCTTAATTGATTAACATAAGCTTAAATTTTTCAAAAGAATGCCAGGAACAGGTAGCTCTGTTATTTTAGGTCTACACATTGTATGTACTTAACTGCTTCCCTTATTTACTCTGAAAACTCAGTCCTGAATTTTAGTTGAGCCCATTTTTTTGGGTGTTTCTGAGTTGAGCATGAGAGGCTTTGGAATGTGATGTGCAGATCCATGCTGTCGCTGGTGGTACCTGTGGGGATGCGTGAAGCAGAAGGATCATCTTGTTTCGCACCTAAGAAAACCACCTCTTAACTTGAAAACTGACTGCCTTTCACAGGGAAGGAAAAGTTAATTCTCTACCTAAAAAGTGACAAAGCCCACAGTACCTGTTGGTACTAAAAGTGAAAGTCTGGGCTAGATTAAATATTTCTGTGGGACCTTAAGCTTGTTTTTTTGCAGTAGGTAATATTGGGACTGGCTGGGATTCTGCATGCATGTGGTGACCATCGTAACATCTGACAATTACGACTTGATGAATTCTCTTCTCTTCAGACATTGAAATTAATCCTGGCAAAATCTGCTGCGCTGGAAGTGATCCATTTCAAAAAGGAACACATATTTGAGATAGGGAGAAAGTAATCTTTGCTTAAAAAGGGCAGCTCTGCTTTGGTAACAGTGCTTAATTTTTGAGTGTTGCAGTATCTTAATCATTTAGAATCATAGTTCTATAGAAGGTAGAGTGTATGAAATGCACGATGGGAATGGGTAACACCAATTGGGAAGTTGGTGTGGATCTCTTCTGTCTTTGGTTAACAGACAAAGTGGAATTAGTAGTTGGTAAACCTTTTAAAGGCAAAAAAAGGAATTGGTAATGTATTGGAACAACATGTTGGGTTTTAAATTGTATCTTCAATGTATAACTGAGAAATGTGTGGAATGAATGTGTGTATTTATGTCAGAGGACGCCTTTGCGTGGCTGCTATGTTGCTGAATCCTAACACACATGCCAAAGATTGCTGTGCTGTAACAGGAATGGCAGCTGATGCAACCTGAAGAGTCTATCCGTGTACTTTGTAGACAATTCTAGCTGGGCCACTGTCACTAATACAATCTGTGCTGCTTCCAAAACCTAAGTTAAACAAGAATCAAGGATTGATACCACAAAGTTCTGTTCTTGTACGGTCGTACACTGACAGAAATTTTTGTCAGGGCACTGATTCTTTCTCTGCCTCAAAAACTCCACTCCTTGACATGGTGAGTCAGCTAATGCTTATCCTCTCTAGGATTTTCCTTTTTAGGTCCAAAGATGAAAAGAGCTAAAGAAGTTATGCTGCTATGAAATATCAACCTGCAACAGCAACGTGGCATTACCCTTTATTAGCAGGGGAAGCGTCCTTGGGGAAAAATAAGCACAATCTCACAAAGTTTTTATGCAAAAGAGAACTGGCTTTGTTGCTTGGAGGCCATCATATGCTAAAATAACTGAAGTACCTTTCTTACGGGATTAGGCCTTGTACCATGTGGCTGACCCTCTGTTTTACCCAGAAAGGTTACAGTTCCTCAGGAAAAGATGCAATATAGCAAAAGTGTATTTGTAGTCTAAATAAGAATTGTTTATGTATAAATAAAAGATGTAGTACTGAAATACAGTGACATAATTTTCATCTTGTAGGTGATGGTGAGCAACTTGAGCTGTGGTGTCACAGAGCACGCAGATAATAAATACTTGCCCATCCAAACTGTTTTATGTGCTGTGTTCTGAAGAGGCTTTGCAAAATATTTTTGTATTAAGACATGAGAAATTGCATTCAACCTTGTAAATGCTTTTTAATAAATTCAAAGAAATAATTCTTCCTTGTGCAGCTGAGTTTATTCTTAATCCTTATAGAAGACTTTTCTTATGATAGGCCTCTTCTTCAGTAAATATTTAATGCACAAGCTGGACATGGTGTCCAGAAAATGTGAAATATAATTCCTATTTTATATCCTTTCTAACCTCAGCCTTCTAAAACATGGAGCTTTTGCCTGACAGGTTAAGATGTTGATTTCATACTACCTCCTAGGATGACCGCAGCTTTCCTGCTTAAAACACAACTTTGATACGTGGGATGTTGGGCATTTCACTTTAAGATATCTTGAGTCCCGACTTGACTCAGGCAGAGGTAAAGTGGAAAGTTCTACCAAGTGACATCAGTCTGCCAGCATGATGTGTTTTCAGCCTAGTTTACAGAAGAGAATTGTTCATTCTAGAAGATTAAAGAGACAGATTACTTTGGAGACATAATTGGAAAATTTATGCATGACGTAAGCAAGCAGAAGAGCTTGAATTGTCTTATAATTAAGTTTTGCCGTAACTTTTCTTTGGGAAAAATGTGCATTTCTTGATGGATTTTTAATCATGAAAAGTGTGGATTTACACTTAAGTGTCTGTCCTAATTATTCACATAGTCACAATCTAAAGCATCAACCTTCATAATTAGGCTTCTGTGTGTTACGAGCTAACTGAAGCCTCACGTCTCCTTTTGGTTCATGTTTTCTAGGCAGTGGACATCAGTAATACAACCTCTGAATACAACAGAATACAGCAGCTGTTTCTTCAGACTATGAAAAGCTATGATGTCCTTAAAATACAGAGGATTCAGAATCCATCCCTCTGGAAAGTGTTTCAGTGGTTAGTATGTGTTTCCTTGTCCCTAAGGGGAGGGAGTGTCCAAGAGCTGATGTCCTATACCTTCCTCCTAGGAAAGGAAAGATGTTACAACCTGGGCTTTAATGTGACTGGTACTTCCTTCTTAGGGGTGGTTTCAGGAGTGAAGTTAGGTCTCTAAGGCCTTCCAGAGAATGCCATGCTCCTGGGGGGAGGTTTCCTTTGCATGATTCCTTGGAAGATGGGGGGAGGGGTACAGACAGATGCAAATGCAAAATTGGGATGAGGATACCCACAGTGACGTGGAATAGCATATTGTCTCAGGGACTGAACAGTAACTGCCTGCTGCACGTGGCGCTCTGCCTGTTAGAAATGTTTATCCATTAGAGTATGTGAAATACTTCCTAAAAAAGAAGTGGGCAAGGGTACTTGGACCTTTTTTTTTTTTTTGCCAGAGTTATTTAAGGCTTCTTCAAGAGTTTGAGTACCTGTGCTGAATGAAGTCAGTATTTACTGAGAAAGAATCCTTATGCTTTAACTTAATGTTCTCTGAGTTCCAGAGCTCCTTTCTGGTTTTCAGCATCTGCATCAGTGATAAGGAACTCCAGGTACTTATGCCAGGCTAGATACCAACAGATTGGAGCTGGTGCTAGTGACAGCAACCAACCATGTTCAGGTTAATTTGGTTGCCGATTAAGCTGTTGGATAGAACACTTGTCTAGTAAAACAAAAGCACAGATACTTAATGGAACTATTCAAGGACTTTATGGAATGGTAACGAAAAAGAAAAATACTGCTCCAATAAGTAGTTCGACCTGCAAAGTGACTGAACCCAGGAAGTTATCGGGTAATAGTTTCATAAAACCTTGTCATCTAGCAAAACTTAAGGCACTTCAAAACATTTAAAAATGCGTACTTTTTATCCTCCACCAGTGAGATAATTAAGCTAACCAGGCAGAGTTTAACATTGCCAAGTTCTCAATGAACAAATTTCAGTCCATTGCTCTTAACTTTTCATTTACGAGTTTACAAGTTGGAAGGATTCTCCCCTCTCCCTGGCTCTGTTTACTTTGTAGCTGATCGTTTCCTGAAGCCTATTACTGTCTTGTCCACTTCAACAGCTTCTAAAAACCTGTGGGATGTCTGGATGCTGTGAAATAGTGATGGGAGACACTAGTTGAGCCTTCCATTGTGATTCCTCTTTTGATCCTGGTCATAGCTCAGTCTGACTATGGCCTTGATCAGTAGGGTCTTCAGTGGTGAAAGAAGGCTCAGTTTTTCTCCTTCTGGCTCAGTCTCCTCAGCTGCGCTGATCTCACCGCGGGGCAGGAGCTCAGGGTGCACAGCAGTCTTGAGTTCACCAGGGGAATGAGGAACAAGCTGCCTCTAGCTTTTACCCACTGCTGGAGCATGGAGGCTCTGCCATTGGTGCAACCTCCGCTCCGCAGGGAGTTTGACTAGAGACATTTGAGCAGAACTAGTAAGACCCTACAGAGGAGCAAAAGGTTGGTACAGTGGGGACTGTAATGGTATCGATGCTTGCTTAAATTCACTGAAGAAAGCCAGAATTATCTAGAATTGCTGGGCAGTGGTGTCAGTATATTGCTCATTGTACTGCTAGCCTGTTTCATCTTCTAAGCTGAGAGAGGAGAAAGCAGACTGGAAATCTCATCCAGCTGATATTTACATGTACATTATGTACGCTGTTTCTTTTTTAACCCCCTTTCTTCCTTTTCTTCCACGGCCCACACTCTCTTCCCCTGCATTTTTCTGTTAGGCAAAAGGAGCAGATGCAGAGGGAAAATAGAGGAAAGGAAATAAATGAACAGCTCCTGTTCCATGGAACCAAGATCTCCTTCGTGGAATCCATCTGCACTCACAACTTTGACTGGAGAATTTGTGGAAGCAATGGAACTAACTATGGAAGAGGTACGTAGAAGTGACTCTGTGTTAGACACATCTACTTAAACTCCCCTGATACTACAGCAATCAAAGTTTTTAAGTCTTTAACTGTAGAGGGTGAAAAAAAGAGGTAGGAATTGGTATTATGATCTTCCTTGCCTCTGGAGAGGACAAGAAGTTGCTTTGTGTGGGGTAAGTCTTTTCACAAGGTGTTAAGAGAATTAATGTAGGGATTTGAAAAAGCCTCTGTTGCTGTAGGTAGGATGTTCTGAAGGCTCAAGGTCATAATTTGAACTTGCCAGAGAAATGGCCACTAGTTTTTATGGCAGGGAGCAAGAAGGGTGTGCATTCCCTCAGTATAATCCTGGAAGGTCCTCATGTTTTCCTATCTATCCGTCTCATCGTAGGAGACATACCTGCAGTGGTTTTGTATGGTTTGTTTTTTTAAAAATTATTCCTGAAATAGCAAATTCCTAATGGAAATTATGTGGCGAAATCCTTTCTCTTGTAAAAATTTCTCACATATTACATAAACTGAGCAAGAGGAGACCTGAAAGTTGGGTCAGATACCCCCTGAAAAACAAGGGGATGCTCAGTTTTCACTCTCACTTTATACATATTCCTTATAACCATGTTTTCATATCATTTTCTAGGAAGTTACTTTGCAAGAGATGCTTCCTATTCCCATGCATACTGTCAGCCTGCGGTGAAATCAAGCATCATGTTCGTGGCTCGTGTATTGGTTGGTGAATATGTTAAAGGCAATGCAGCCTATGTTCGCCCCCCAACAAAGTCTGCTGATGGGCTTCGGTTTTATGACAGCTGTGTGGACAATGAGTTAAATCCCTCCATTTTTGTTGTCTTTGAAAAATACCAGATTTACCCAGAGTATATAATAGAGTATGCGGAGAAAGAAAAAAAATGTATTGTATCTTAGAGGGATCAGAGCTGTTTGTATCCTTCATCTTATTTTCCGTGTTGCAGGTGTTCTCATAATTGGTGACTTCTTTCTTTTTAATAAAATCCTTTGGAATTTTAATCCAAAGAATTTCTGTGTTGAGGAGGGTTGGCAAAACAGATGTTACATTTGTTGAGACTAATTGCCTTGTCTTCTCCTCTTCCTCTCTTAAATGAAGCACAGTCGTTTGGATAACCATAGCAGAAAAATCAGAATCATGGGATGGGAAATCGAACGTTACGACTTCTGTGGGGAAATAATTGTAAATGCATTTTCTTAGAAATAGAGAGGATTTCTCTTTGCAAACAGTTCAGTTAAGAGAAAAAATAACAGTACAGTAGTTTTTAAGCAAACTCTCAGGATTTTAGTAGTCTTTAGGTTCTTTTCAGTGCAGAATATGGTTGTTCTTGATCCTCTTGTCTATCACAGCTCTGAACAAGTCAGCATACGTAAGAATGGCTTGACTTAGGTTTCAAAGTGCTGCTTGTTAATGCTGATACTAGTTTCAAGTTTAAAACGGTAAAACAAAAAAATAAAAAGCTTATTTTAAATCCATGTCGGAAGATCAATAGCAGCTACGGTTCGGATCAGAAAATTGTTGGATCAAATTCTTTTTGCAGATCTGCAATAGCTTGCTGTGTGACCTATACAAAAATACAGTTCAAGCAAAACTGTGAAAGTCACAACCTGTGAATAAGCAGGTAATAAGATTCAGTGGTTTGGCTGCAACTAATGGCCGTAATATATAAAGGCTGTGTCACAACGAGCCAGGCTTTCAAGCAAATCTGGCCACGTACTTTCTCAATGTCAGCATTTGCTTAGCAAATGCTATAGGACAGGAGAAACATCTCAAGAAGCATTGGTATTTTCTGTCCTATTCGTATACGTTTATTTTCGGTTTTCCAGAAATATGGCATGACTGGAAGAGACCAGTCGTGTTCTCTCGAGGCCAGTGGTAGAACTGCTGTCCTAAGACACTTTGTATTTGCGTTTTGTTGCCCACATTGCATTGGGCAACTTGCCAGCAAGTGTAGTTCCTCTTTGTGTTCTGAGGTAGCCGTGGGTGATCCTGGATACTGCTTCCCTGGGTCCGCTTTTGATAAACTTGCTTTGTCTCTGTCAGTGGTGTACAACCCACTTCTGGTGATGAAGCCCTTTTTTATGAGCTTGCATGTTTTTTATCATTTTTATTATTCTTATTAAAATACAGAAATTCATATAGAGTTTCTATTGAATTTTAATAAGGAGTTTGTACGTTAATTGAACTGAAGACCCTCTGTACGATGATGTCCCATTTCGGCAGTCTAGCTGTTAAGAGGGATACTGTAGCTGAGGACAGAGGAGTGGTTGTTTTTGCTTTACAGTAACACGAAGAGCCTCCCAGATATTTGCATCTTCGATACAAATCTGTCAACCACTTGTATGGCTTAAAGTTTGCAAGTTACCAAGAGGATGAGGAAATATATAGAACCATGAAATCTTAGTAAAATTACTGTCTTAGAACTAAATGAAAACATGCGCCAGTAATGGTTTAAAAGGGGAAGATTTTACCACTTTTTAAGATCTCTCTCACTTTTGTTTGCCTGTAGAATCATTGAGTTTTGCCATACTTGCTAATAAAATGCGTTTTCACTCACTTTTTGCTTGTTAGCGTGCAGTTTGTCTCCATACGTAAACTTAGACAGACCTGGTGAACAAGCCATATAATCCGTGTGCTCAGTGTATTCCTGTCATCTGTGCTTCGGAACCAGGGAACTGCATGGGTGTCGCTTTGCATTTTAGTGTAGGGGCTTAGCTAAGTAGGAAGGGTGGAATACAGCCTGATTCACGGACAATATTTTGGTAAATGAACTTCCTAAGACACCCTTAATATTAAAAGTGCTGCGGTAGTTTGGTTGGGTTCCATGTAATTACACAGCTGCTCTCAGCAGTCGTTAAAGTCCTAAAAAAAGGGAAAGAAGGTGGCAAAGTAGTAGCAGAACTACTGGTTTTAATATGTAGAAGTAGTCGGGTATTGACTTATTCTAAGGATGTACTTTTTTGAATATCTACATGAGTAACTTAAAGAATCCAAAGTAAGCACCTATAAGACACAGTGCTGCGCTTTCCCCCATCCCTGCAAGCTATGAGACAGGCAAGTACATGGAGGATGCCAGCGAGATGCAGTCCAAATCACAAAATCTGGAGGAAGGACAAGGGAAGAAATGGGAACTCCAGTGCTGTGCTTCACATTGTCAAAACTGCACTTCCCTAAGTCTGGGAAGAAACGCTGCCGGCTGGGGGCACAACTCTTATCGTGCGCAGGATATTGGCTATTGAATCAGTGTGGGGTTGGACTGTAGATGAGAGCTGCTCTGGGGAAGGAAGGAAGACACAAACTTCAGTCTGGGTAACTGAGCTGAAGAGGGGAGAAAGCTAGAAAAAACCATACTCCAAATGCAGGAAGATGGAGCGCAAAGAAAAAAAAGGTTCTCCCACCTACTGGCACCTCAGCCTCTTCCAAACTGACACCAAGAGAAATGCCATGCTTGCTGCGGGCTGACAGAAATCCTTTGCCCTTTGAGCTTGGTGAATGGCAGCCTGTGTGAGAGGAAAGGAATAATGCCTTGTGTGGCAGCTGACCAGCCACTGGGCTGAATTATGGTTCCAGTTGTTGCTGCAAGCAAGCCAGCTTCAAAGTGTGTTTTCAGGATAACCAACAGAAGTTTGGAAGTAATTTTTTTTTCATTCCTAGTGATCCTGAGCAGAAACCATATTTGCTTTGTTCTGGCAATCCTCGCACTGCCTATTGAAACTGCCACTTGTGGGTCATGTTTTTGTCTGAGATAGCCTATGCGTGCTAAGAGCACTTTGAGGTGTCGCTGCTGATGCTTTGCCTGGATTTCTGGATTTGCTAAAAGCAGGTTATTGACTGCCCTGCTGTGTCTGCCTCATTCACTAGCCTTGTCTTACAGTCTGGATAATGGCTTTCAGGGAATCCAGTAGGTGCAGAACAAGCTTGTTCAGAAAAGGCTAAAAATACATTTGCTACGGGCACATTCTGTATTTAACCCAGTAATTTCACCTTCTAGGCACGGTGTTACAGGGGCTCTGCATGAACATGGGTGCTGCTGCTCTTAACTTCTAGATGCCTTTCTTTGTGTTCCTGTCTTTAAACTGAGGGAATAACTACTTCTCATGTTTCAAGACACAGAGAAAGCTTAGAGAATAGCACCACAGAATGCGTTTTGAGCAGCACCACTTAGCAAGCTTGTTGCACTTTACCTCTGAATATAATTTTTTTCCAGTCTACCCCTGCTAGCTGGGGTGCCAACCAGCAAGTGTGCTTACAATGAAGGGCAGGCCAGATGCAATCCTAGCCACCAGCTGGTCAGCAGCTCTGTTAGTCGTGTCTCCTCCCTCCACCCCGCCCCAAACCCTTCAAGTATTAAGACTGCGAGCACTGTGAGGTAATCTGTGAAAGGGAATGGCATGAGCACAGTTTCCCAGCCCCTGCAAGGCTCTGGGGCTTTGTTTTGCTTCCTGGCACATTCAAGCCTCTCCAAAAAAAAAAAAAAAAAAAAAAAAGATGCTACGCTGGCGACAGCTCTGAAGAAATGAAAGCTGTGAATGTGCAGCCCGCTGGCACAGCTGCTCTTTGGGTTCTTGCATCTCAAAGACAAGGCAGCTGCACATGGGAGTCTCCAAGACAAATGCAACGCCTGTTTTCAGGAAAAAAAGACTCAAGGCCTTGGAACAAGCCCGTTCACCGATGTCAAGCGTTGTCGTGGCCTGTGAGACTGCGTGGTGGCTGTTCACAGGTAGGCACAATACCCTCTCCAAAGGTCTCGGTCAGGAGCTATGCATACGAAGAAGTTAAGAGAAGCTATCATTTGGAGAGGGTCCTGCAGCTGACTGAGGCCTTTGTACCTGAAAAAAATCTGTATGTATGCCTTGATCAGGAACACACGGGTTGAAAATGCGTTTTAAAAAAACATGTTAATAAATCTGGTCTTCATTTGCAAACAAAAAAAAAATTACTCAAAACCAATGTACCTGCCACGATAGCTGGTCATGATACCACTGATGCTGTGATACGCTTTCTTCACCAACAAAATTGAGAAGCTGGAGTAAGGAAGGGCTTTGTGGTTGAGTGGCAGGAGCCTAGGCAAGGCCTTAGGTGATGGGCGACAGCCGTGCTTTCACAGCAGCCTCCTATACCTACCACAAGTCATCACGGTGGGTTTTAGTACAGCTTAATGGCACTAACAGTCTAAACCAGACCGGTCTTTAACAATTCTTTTAATGGTTCCTGACAGCTAAACCTGCTGCAGCAAAGGTTTTCTAAAGAACTTCTTGGGTCAGCTTGCTTGATGCTAATGGAACTGTTACAAGTACCGCAGTACCAGGTCTGACAGTAGCGACGTCCAACAGAACGTCACCCGCTCCCTGTTTCGTTGCACTGAGCTACTAGCAGCAGCCAACGCTGAAGGAGCGGTAGAGGTTAACTGAGCTGATGGTGTACGTGGTGTCAGCACAGATGGCTAAGCATGCAGTTCAGAAAAGGCTGGTAAAGTGGGGATATTGCCCTTGCAGCCACTCTGAGGATCATGAAAAATTACCATCAAAGTTAAAAGTAGATGTTTCCTGATGTAATGCTGGCAGGGGAGTTACTGCCCAGGCTCAAATTCCGATGCGTATCACGAAGGACTACTGCCTCTGCCCCTCCTAATGCAGAAAAAGAAGAGCCAGGGAGGCTGGGAGGGATGGCCTGCTAACTTCAACGGGTGTGGCCGAGACAGAACAACAGCAAGGATGAGGATGTGCTTGTGTTTGCATAACCTGTGCAAAGCCAGTACCTCTTTCGTAAGCAGCAGATGTTTATATAAAGTTTCTGCTGACTGCTTTCCAACTGCTCTGCTTAGATATGAAAAGGTGAGCTTTTAGGAGTCAGCATGGTCCGTGGTCAAGTTCTTCCTCTGCTTGTTCTTCCTCTCCTCTTGTTCTTCCCACTGAGCTACCTGCTTGTTGACTGTTTTCCATAACGGTAATTGAAAATGATTCAGCATAGCACGGCGAAGCAAGACAGAATGCTTCAAGTATTTTAGATAAAAATAAGGGGAAGATAAGGCAGCAAACCAGAAGTTTTCATTTACTGGGCAAAATGTGTAGGATTAGTTGGGTGAAAAAGCCTCTCATCACATTCATGGAAGCAAAGAGGACACACAGTTACAGGTTTATGAAATTAAGCTGAATAACCCATTTAAAAGCAAGGAAGCCATGCACTTGCTCCTCAACTGAGCCCATCTTTCAATTTATTGACATAAAGCAGACAGAATTCTCTATCTTGTTCTATCAAACATACCTCAAGTGTCATTCTTTAATTTGTGTAGCAATAGATCACATAAAGTACATGCTTCATAGCCAGCCAGCATATTTCTCAGGGTTTTGTACCCTAGTACGATTGGTTATATTCCTTGAGTAAAAAGTTATCTGTCTAAAGTAATCTCTTGAAATGCACTCATTAAAAATAGCAGTAAAAATCTAGTATAGCTTTGGCACAGAGTGAGCCAATCACAGTCATGGCTGGACAGATAAAACAGTGGCGAAGCTGAAGAGCAGGGAACTACAACTGTCCGAAGGATTGAGAAGGCTGCAGGCAAGGATGCAATATCCTTATCTGGTTTCACAAATTATCATTGATTTAAAAATAAACTATTTTTTCCTCAACCAAGAGCTGGGGGAAGAAGGGTGGCAGCAAGGCACTTCCCCATTTTATTCCTCTATGCAGTAACTCCAGGGGCAGTGCAGGGTCACCTGTGAAACCACTTTTTTAGGTCAAAAGGAAACTTTATGTGGGATGGGGCCGCTGTGGGACACAGGGAAGAGCATGTGTGTATCCAGGAGAGCTTACAGATGTGATACCAAAGCCAGAGCTTGGGCAGTTGAAGAATGTAGCATTTCTATTCAGGAAGAAGAGGCAGTGTTAGTTCCGTTTCGTTTGAAATACCATCTTTCCCTTCATTAAGGAGTTCTGGATTACTGGAGCGAGAAAAATCTGTTAGCTCTGCTACACTGCAGGAATCCAGAGGCACCAGAACTTCATAGAGGGACATGGCTCATATCGTGCCTCATTTGCAGCACCAAAGCTTGTCACATCGCTTGTGCCAGGACAAAGCTTTGTGTCAGTTCCCCTTAGCTCTCTTTCCCCATCAGAAGCTCCCTTCCAGTCTTCACTTGCTCTTGGGTACCTCTATAAAGTCTGCGCTTTAACACCAGTTTAAAACTCTACTTTGCTAACCTGCAGGGATTTGTGCTATTGAGATGGCAGTAAGGCCTGACTTTCCAAAAGCTCAGGTAAGCACGAAGATGCCATTTCAAACTACCATTCCGAGATGGTACTGTTTTAGCTGTAATCCAGGCTTTTCCTTTTTTCTGAAAGATTTAAAAGCGCCAAGGGAGTAGCCGTGTTAGAATAGTCGCAGTCAGCTGTTACCCCTCATGTCTGGTTTCATTCACATGGTAATTTCAGAAAGCTCTGAGGTGCTATATTGAAAGGAAAAAGTTTAACATTTATGAGAGGGAGTCTAAAAACATGCACCTGGAAAGAGATCCTGAATGCAAACAGATCTGTCATACCAGAGTCTGTGACTCATGCCTGAATGGACTGGAAGCCTGATTGGGAATTCAGTTGACACCTGTGTTGGCTCTGGGCCCCATACTTTCCTATTAGCTATGTTTAAAAAGGTCCATTTGAATTACCTGAGCAGTTTACTGATTATTTAAGACATTAATGAAGTAACAAATTGGGCTAATGGATGACTGGAATCCAGGCACTATTACTAAACTCTATATAATCAGGGTCAGAGGGAACTTTCAGGAAAATATACCAGAAAAGCAGTGTCCTGGGATGCTTCAGGAAGCTGCGCATTATCAGCAGGTTATCTTCTTCTTTCCTGGTGGAATCATCTAAGATACAGACTCCTGAAATGCAACAGCTGTGTATTTTTTTTTTTTTTAAGTAAATCATTGTCACACCTCTGACTCATAGGGGTACTCTTACCTACTGAGAATGGTTTACAGCGTAGCGCCCCTCTACTCCCTGCACCCAGACTTTGATTGGTAAGCTTATTGCTATTTCAGCTGAAGCACAGATGAAAGACTTATGCCACTGAATGAACGGCTGCTGCCTTCCTAATAAGACGCTCCGTCATTGGTGAATTTGGTCTTATCAGATCACGTTCTCTCAGGAGGCACCTGGGAAAAGAGAAGGGGTAGGAGAAAAAATGGGAAGGTCATGAGGACAACATCAGTTTTCCTGTAAGATCACCAGTGGCACCCTTGTAAGAGGAGGAAAACAGTATGTAAAGACCTGCTCTTGAGGTACGGGTTTCCCTTACTGGAAAGCCTTGGCACTAAGTTTTGGCAGAACAGCATTGTTTTCAGCACTGACAGAGGCTGAAAATGAGCACCCAGAGATCAGAGTGCACAGAAGAATCATTTTGATATTGTATCTGATTTTTATGTTTCAAAGAGATCTTAGGAAGGGAACAGGCAAGGCTTCATATTGTCTGGAGGATCCGCTCATTTTAAGTGCACAGGCAGACCCAGACCCAGACAATACATTTCAAACGGAAATCAGTATGGGTGAAAAAGCAACATCTACGATTTCTACCAAACAAGGCTCTTGCAATTTGTACTGAGGCAAGCTCACATATCAGACACTGCAAACCTTATTTCCCAATAAAGCAGATGTCATTATTAGGACAGATTTGATTTCAGCAATTCACAGAAGTTCAGCAGTCCATTAAGTACACTGATCAACAGGCAGGAGGCCACATTTTAAGGCAGAACCATTTGAAAATCAACTTGAACAAATACAGATCATTCATCCAGACTGCAAGAGTGTACTTTTGGAATTAGAAGCTACTGTACTTGCATGTAATTTTAGCCTTAATGTATTGGTCTGAGTATACTTGCTACTTCTTACTTTTAGTAACAGTACTACTTCCACAAATATTTGTCAGGCAAAATACTCACCTTGCAAGGTTTTGTTTGGCTTGTGATTTAGAGTTTAAAGCAGCATGAATCAATAACTGGCTGAAAACATCTCTCTGAAAAAAGAAGTCAGCAAAACCACAAAGTAATAAGTAACTTATAAAGTATTGCTGGTTACAATGCCCTGTTTACCAAGTTATTAAAACCACTGAGGAAGGAAACATATTGACAAGAAAAATTAAATCGCTAACAGTGCTGATAAGTGTCTGCAAACAGGATTCAGCCACAAGCAGAGTTTAGCTGTTACACTCTCTAAGAATGAAGTGTTGTTAATAACATACTTGCCTAATGCAGGCTACTGAGAAAGAGGATTAAGTTGCATCAGAAAGTCTTTTACTGATCTCCTTTACCTGAGCATTACTGCCTCCTAGTTGGATCAGTTGATAACGGATTGGGTACAGCAGGTCTACAGCTTTGTCGCAATTTCCATTTTCAAACTCTACAAAAGCCTGGCACAGTGGCAACCCCAAACTAGGAGCCAGAGAAAGCTCATGGTCTTCACAGGGTGCTCTGTAGAATGAGAAAGTGGTTAGATCCCGTAAATCAAATTATAAATATGCATATTATGGTGCCAGCCTGTCACTGGCTGCAGACAGAGTTTTTTTTTTACTGTACAAAGCCTGATGTTTCAGGTACTTTATTTAGGTAACACCTTTTGGTGGGGTTATGTTACTTTCACCTTTTTGTTACTCATCAATCAGCTTTCATTCTTCTGAATGTATCTGTAAAAGGCACAAGCCCAACCCCTCCTGCCTTTGCAATAAAGAGTTTGGGCTAGAAAAGTGAGAAAACTGCACAGTTTCTCTTCTGATGACCTCACCAGAACATCCTACTGCTAGTTCTTTGACTGTCCCCATCTCTGCCAAAAGCGACCATCAGTCCCTTGCAAACACCTCCAAGTAATACATCTTGCAAAACAACTTGCCACACAGCACAGTGCCTTGCTGTCTTTGTAATACAAACTATATTCCAAACGGCAACGCTCAAAGTCTGCTCTTTTATTCTACCCGCGACAGACTGCTTTTAGGCCCACAAACAGCAATGGATTTTAGCGAGCTCTTAAGTTTTTGGGTTTGGTTTTTTTTTTCCTTTTCTTTCTTAGTGCTTGTATCCTAACCCATCTAAGAGTGGAGGAGGCATATAGCATGACAACATGTCTGCAGAAGAACATATACATTCTAGCAGGCAACCTTGCCAATATTAAAAAAAAAAAAAATGAAAATACAAGTAACCAAACTGTAGCTCTTTGGCCTATAGGCAATACCTGCAGGGGACAATATGGAATTCTGTTTTTCCACTGCTACAGAAGAGGCTGACAGTCATCAGGCCTTAGAGCTAGGGCCATGGAGGTTGGTTGGCAATACAAGGAGAGGAGGGCTTTCTATCCCAAGCAATATAAATCATTCCTGAGAATACAGTGCACAGTTCAATGCTATAAAGTCCATCCATTTTTTACAATAGATTTTTCTGTAAATTTTCTAATTACATCTTTACCATTAAGGAACCTTAGTCACTGGCTTCTGTTTTGAGTGCTTGCAATGACAAGCTAGGAGTCACACTCCCCCACTAGTACCTTCAATTTACCAAACACAGAGCATACTCTGTGCTCTCCTTCTTGAGTCAGTAGTTTCAGATAGTTAATGATAAAAATGATGGCACAATTCTTCATTTAAAAATTTGTTCCAGCTCGCTGAGAAAATGCACAGAGCTGGAAGGCTGATTTTTTTTTTTTTTTCTTTCTCTTGCAACTGATCTGAAGTATTGCTTCACAAAGAACAACACGCCCCTTGCATTACCTAACATTTCCATCCGTGAAAATAAGCGTGTGACACCAACCACCAGAGCACGCCATGGAATACTTTACCAAAAAAAAAAAATCCTTCTCAACTTTAAGTTGCAAAGGCGAGGGAAAAATATTAATGAAAAGCCAAGAATGACTGTTGTTTGTGCCAAAGTTTTATGACTGCTTTTTTATAACACACACAAAACGCATCTTAGGTATGGTTTAGCTATTACATATTTGTGATACACATAAATTAATCCATTAAGCCAATCATTAACATAATCCCTCCATCTCACAGTCTGTTTTCTCAAATAATAAAATTAAGCTTTATAATACTTCAAACAACAGCTAAAAATGTACAGCTGTATTACTACAGAAGGCTGAGCTCATAGGCAAAAGGAAGCACTGGGTGAAAGGATAAGTAGCGTATGTTCATTAAAGCTTCCCTGAACTGGTGTGCATGTGCAGATTTTTATACTTTATATATACAGCCTTACATAGAAGTTATTTGCCATTTCCTACTTTAGTCAAATCACGCATGCTTAGGCTTGATTTGACAGTTACTTGTTCTCATAACTATTCTTAAAAATTACATTTATTTTTTATTATTTTTGATTGATGGGTATTAGAATCAGGAACAAATAGTGACAATTTCAGGTTCTCCTTCCCTCTTTTTTAAGGCAAGGGAAGCAATAGATGCTGAAACAGAGGAAAAACAGAGGGTGTAAGGGGGGAAAGAAATTGCATCTATATATCAACCCCTTAAAAAAAAAAATCAAGGCAATTTAGAGTTATTTAATACATAAGGGAACAAGAAAAAATACTGTTTAGATTGAATACTTAAATATGCAAATTTTTCAAATAATTTCATTTGAAAGCAAAATATTCTTTATTATTACTTTAGCAGTACTTGAAATTAAATTTCCTGCAGAGGTACTTTACATCAAACAGTAGCTATTAGAATGTCACTACCAACTAATGCTCTATTATTAAAGAACCTTTCAAACCAGAGCAAAAACAAACCACCACAGACAGCCGACCTATATTGTAGAATGCCCTTACTAATATACAGGTGAAATATTTTATTCATTGTATGTAACATAGCTTAGTGTGAACCCACTGAAAGGAAGTACCCAGCAACTGTTCAGTTAGTGTCCATGACCTTGAACATAAGAGATTTCTGCTTAGCGAGATTCAAAACCCCTCTAGACATTAACTCAAAAAAAATAAAGAATTATAGGGATCTTCTAACTGGAGATAGGACTACTTAAACCAGACACGTCCCAGTGACATGCTAAAGGAGAGAAAAGTGTGTTTTAGTGCTTCAGCAAACCAGAAGCATTATCACCCTGAAGCTCAGGGGACAAAATATTTATTGAATACAGTTCTTTAATTCACTTGCTTACTTGGCAAGTTCCTGAAGAGTTGTTAAAAGCTCATCAGTAGTTTTGCGGTCTTTGGCTCCAAGTGAGCACATCAAGATGTGCACATCATTGAACAGAAGAATGTGATCCTTGGTGTGCTGCTTTGTAATCTCGAGAACATTGTTCCACCTGTCTCCAAGCTTTACACCTAAGAGTAAAAAAATATTTTTCTCAATAAAAATACCACATGCAAAAGTATGACTTTGCAATATACTTTGAGTCACCCAGCACAAACAACATTCCTACTAAACTCAAGAAAACATTCCCTGATTTTGGCAAAATTTACAAAGTAATGCTCAACTGCAGCCTGCTGTACTTGGGCAAAGAGTTTATTGACTGCCAGTAATTTATCACCAATATTCTAGATTGCATTATGTGAAGTTCTGGCTTTATTATGAGATTGCTCACGTCTTCTAGGAGATGATGTTCATAATGAACTGTCTGTAGCAATAAAATAATACAAAGCAATAACATGGATTTCATAAACAAACCAAATGCATCATTACTGTTTTAGCAGCATACTGTGAAAATAATGTCCGTCCATCTGTCCATCCTCGCCTTCACGAACTCTAGTGCATAAACACTACCTTAAAAAAAAGTTAAGGAGCAATGCCACTGAGTTAGGAGAGTACACAAAAGCCAGAGGCTAGTATACACGTACTAGCTATGTCAATCAGTATTAAAATAAAAAGTGGAGTATCTAACTTGAAATTTACTTCAAGGAAGCTCTACAGATTTTGGGAGGCTTATGTGCTAGCTTATATGCTAGCTTGCACTCAATGAAATACCATACTGGCATAGGAAAAAACCAAACAAACAAACCACCTCTTGGGAAGAACAAAGGTTATGGACATTATTATGAATTTCACATTGAGGGTTTTCTCAAGAGCAGAATTTTCTTCTGTAACACTGACCAAGTTTGCTCCTTAAGTATCTTTAAATACTTCTCCAACGTGCAAGGCAGGGGAAGGGGGGGGGGGCAAAACCAAAACCTTACAGTTTTAAAAAAGAATGGCAGGTGGATATCCTACCTTCCAGATGAAGCCTGTACAGCATCGAACAGTTATCTACTACATCCAGCATGCTTCCACTTGACAGACACCGCGGAGCAATCTGTAATCCCAGGTATTCATAAGCTGCCCAACTGATGTGCTAGTGGAAACTTACTCAGATAATCAAACTTACTTGTACAGAATTCATTTTATCTTTTCATTCATTCAAAATCACCCATTCTGCAATAGCCCTAATTGCATCTTTCCTGAATACAGCAATTTGCAATGACAAACACTTCTATTGCTTCATTTGTGTTGTTTTTCCTGTTACGAAGTTAAACTTGGAAGGTATGGAAAGTCACCGAGGTATTTTATTTTTCCCAAAATTGTGCCATAAATATTAGTTCACTTTGCCAAGGTGAGTAGATAGGAGTCTGCCCAGCAGCCTTCTTAATGCTTGCATTATTTTATAATCCTTACAAAGATATGTTATCCTATCTAATTTGATATTGCTTAATTACAAAGATTGTTTTGAAATCCAGACAGAAAAGAACTATAATAAATTAACTAGGAATGAAAAGACGTGCTTTGGTTGACTTAGTAGCTAACATGCAAAATCATGTTCTTTGTACTCTTTATGCTCCATGCATCAGTTCTTTGTAAAGGTAACCTGACTTTATCGGAAAATTATTTTGCATCCCTTTAAAAGATTTTTTTCAGCAGCAGCATTTAGGCCTACAGAGCATGAATAAGAAACATGGACAGAATAGAAGACAGTACCAACAGCGCCACTGTAGCTCTTTCAAGCACAAGTGTAAGAAACACTTAAACTATGTAACACGCGAGTTTTTAGGGCATTTTACCAGTTGAGAAACAGTTTCCCTAAAAATCTGTCACAACAGATGTACGTAATATATATACATATATGGCACACTCTGATAGGTTTCAATCTCACACAGAGGGAAGAAAGCACATATCACGGTCTTACGCACATTCTCAGTAAAGGAAAAAAGTCCCTTACTCACATGATTGTCATAAATTGTCAAAGCAGCCTCATATTCACCCTGGAAAAGCAAACGAGGACTGCATGATTAACATTCAGATACAGTAAACAGAAGTGACTGGTAGTAACCAAAGACATACATACAGTTAATAGATGTCGTAATATTACTTCATAACTGCCTCATGACTTGATCAAAACAAACTGACTCAAAGTAATCTTAAAAGAAAGCTGAAAGAAAGAATGGAGCCTCAGATAAACCAGGATTTCCTAGGCAAAATAATCAGTATATTTAGGTTTCATTTAATAATAGGTACCAATACTGGTGTACGTTACACATGAGAAAGACAAGATATTACCCCTCATTCTAATGTTCCTTTCAGCGATCTTTGCAAGAATTAGTGCATCCTATGGTGTATGCAAAGAGGTAGGAAGAAAAGTAATTTTAAGCAGGCTACAAAAAAGTTGTATAGATAGAAAGTGGCAAAATAAACAAGCTATTAGACTACTCTCAAGAGTTATGCTCCTTCTATGCTAATAATACTGAACACAAGCAAGTTGCTCTGTTTTGAAGTACACTGCCTTCTCAAGGAT